TAATTTTATCACATTTTAACTATACCTGAAATTATTGTATTCTCTTCCAGTTTCATTTTAGACTGTATTTTCTTCCAATTCCATTTTAAATTGTATTTTATTCCTATTTCATTTTAAATTGTATTTTATTCCTATTTCGTTTTAAATTGTATTTTATCCAATTCCATTTTAAATTGCTTTTATCAAATTTTAGTAATAATTTGTTTCTGGAACTTTGCACTTCGATATGACCCCAAGGGCTAATCAATAAAGGACTCAATGTCAATGACTTAGGGTGGTGTGTAATCGATCCATTTTGGTGCATTAACAAATCATGGTTTAACACACCATGAGAATTCAGATACCATCTTTTTTTTAGGAATGCCCCAATGTCCCAACTGGTCAAGGATTTCCTCCACAGCCAAATTGTACAATCTCCCATTGAACTCTACACGGATTGGCTCAATGTGGGACATGTAGATGAATTCCTCACCTTCGTACCTGCCCCAGACCGGAAGGTATGGATCCATAGTCTTCTTTCAAACTTGAGCTTTAAGCGACCAGTTTGCGTAATTAGTGAATATGTCAAGGCGGCTTTGGAGGCTGGTGAACAGTTGCAGGGAGAACTGTTTAACCTTCTGCATTTCCACCCAGGGGTGAAGCTCCTAAGTCTTCTATAAAGTGTCCCACTAGACCAGGGGTCGGCAACCTTAAACACTCAAAGACCCACAAAGTTCCTAACCAGAAGCCCCCTGTTCAATTTTGGAGCATGACCAGAAGTCCGGTTCCCCCACCATAGAGTCTCCTCCAAGCGCAGCATCCTTTTTCCTCTACCTGTCGTAACTGAAAGCCCTATCAATTGTGGAGCCGACCGGCGACAGGGAGCTGCAGCAGAGGGATGAAAGAGCCACATGCAGCTCCAGAGCCGCAGGTTGCTCACCTCTGCACTAGACCCTTGGATGAAATACGGTTGCATTTACAGTATTCACAACCAGGAGACGTTTTGTTCATGGGAAACCCTAGTCCAAGGGTCCCAACCCCTAATCTTTGAACTGGTTCCGGGCTGCGGCATGCCAGAAATCAGGCCGCAGGAATAAGCAAAGCCCCATTGATGGGATGCAGGCAGCACACGAAACCACGCCCACTCTGGTATGCGGAAATCCTTCTCTCCAGGGAACTGGTCCTTGGTGCCCAAAAGCTGCCCTACTCCCTCAAAGTAATTGGCCTAACCAAATCTTTCAACGTCCCATTCTTAAGAGCCTGGAGGTATATAAGATCTATAAATCAACCCACATTCCTTTATGGAGGTTCTCAAGTCATTCAGGTCATGGTTGTCTCAAAGGTGCTTTTTCTAAAGGCAAGTGGACTAAATGCAATAGCATTTAGACTTATATACCGCTTCACAGTGGTTTGCAGTCCCCTCTAAGCAGTTTACAGAGTCGGCCTCTTGCCCCCCAACAAACTGGGTCCTCATTTTACCCACCTCGGAAGGATGGAAGGGCTGAGTCCACCCTGAGCCGGTGAGAATCGAACTGCCGGCAGTTGGCAGAATTCGCCTGCAGTACTGCATTCTAACCAATGCGCCACCACAGCTCTTAGAACCGAAGATCGAACTGGGAACAGCTGATAGAATGGAAGCAGCTTCTGGGATGAGAAGCGAAATGTCCTCAAGGAAAAATAAAGTCTGTTTTGCTACCAGAGGAATAACAAGAGTCGGAAGGGACCTTGGAGGTCTTCTAGTCCAACCCCAAGGAGGGATATTGACAAGGACCAGTCCTAAGGTTTGAGCAGGTGACTGTTTTCAAGGTGGATCTCTGATCCAGCTGTTAATCTCTAGGGTTTGCAGAGACCAAGAACCGGAACCAATTAAACATCAGGACTCTACTACGGAATACCTCTTCCCTAACAACCTTGACATGAGAAAAAGCTGAAATAACTTGCCATTCTTCTCCTTCACACCTGTACGATGGACCGAGAAACCTATTATGGTGGTTCAAAGTGTCCTTTCAGCAGTTTCTGGCTGGCTGCCCTGCGTGAAGCTTCTCCTAAGCTGCTAAATTCTTATTTTTAGCCTGCTAGTCTTCTTTCTGTCCTATCTGCCTTACTCCCTTTCTTACGCCCATTCCAGGGTTTCCGCATGCTGCTGGCCAGCCCAAACGCCTGCTATAAACTGCTGGAAAAGAAGGAAAAGGAAGGCTACGGGAAAGCCAAAATGCCTGACGGTCAGTTTATCTTCTTCCTCCTGTGTAGGACATCTGAACTGAAACTAAAGAGAACTGGGACCAGAGGTTGTATTCAGCCAGTTTTGTCCNACCTCTGCACCTGACCGGAACTGGATGGGTGGAACTACCAGCATGGCAGAGGGAGATTGGACCGTGTGATGGACTTGTGGGTGTGAGGGAAAGATCTTGAACTTTCAACTGGGTGGGGAAAACCGGGAAGCTTTCAGATTCGGGTTTTCCCAGATGTGCCAACATGGCTCTCTTCATAAATTGGATCTTTGAGCAATACTTTGCCTTGGACTCTGATTTACTTTTGGATGCTATTTGAAACCCTGATTTTGCAGCCTCCAAAAGCTCCGTTTGAGAGGACTTGCAGAAGTCAGCCAGTGGGGGCCAGCGGGTGGGCGGGGTGTAAAAGACGCACCCAAATTTGCACCCTCTTTTAGGGGGAGGGGAGTGTGTCTTATACCGCAAAAAATACGGTTAACAATAATTAACAACAATTTGCATGGCAAAGAATGCAGATTTGTTCTAAAGATATCTGGCTAGGCAACAGGTCCTGATATAAAATACAGGATCATCTCTATTGTTAGGTCAGTACAGAAAGAAGGAGAAGACTGCAAAGTCTAAACAAACCCATCATTTATTTAAACATTTGAGAAATATATATAAAAAAAAAAGTGGAGGGAAAAACAAAAGAGAGTGACAAGACTAGGCTAAAAACTTTTTCCCCATCTCATTTAAACTTTAATTGGTTCTCATACCGCTGAGCCCTTCACCTTGGTGAAGAAAAAAAAAAGTCAGCAGTTTTAAACGCAAAACCTTTAGGCCAACCAGGTCGAAATAAAAAAACTTTTTAATTAGCACAAAAACAGTTGTTTCTTTGGTGAAAATGGAAGTACCTCTTTCCCTTCTTTCTCTCCCATGGCAAATAAATTATCCCCCACTACCTTACAATGATGGTGAAAGTGTCTGTCGGTCCCTCATAATGAAGTCTTTCACCAATGAAGAAGAGGAACATCGGGAAAAATGAATAAAACAGTAAAGGGGGTATCAGAAGCTAGGAACGTACCAAAACAGGAAAAGGAGGAGAAAATATTTTGAAACAGACCTGTGCAAAGAGTCGACATCCACAATTAGCATTAATCTTGGATGCCCAGAAAGCGTTTGATAACATAAATTGGCAATCCTGATTTTGCTCACTTGAAAATTTAGCATCAAATCAGCAGGTGCTGCCTTCCAACTTTCCCCAAGTGCCATCCATCGGTGGTGGGTTTCCGTTAATTTTTTTTCCTGATTGATTGCTCATTATTCTAACTCAAAGTTAGCAGGCTGAAAGGTGGCTTAAACCCATCGAGAGATGCCAATGATGGTGAAACGGGAAAGCGTCCTGTCCCTCACAATAAACCAACCAAAAAAAAGAGAGCAATGTGTGTAGCTTTCAAGGCACAAAATTCCCTTCCCACAAAAAAACGAAATGATGGAGAATAAAGACAGCTGTGCATTAAATTCCCATCAGGCTTGGAAACGCATCTCCTGCTTTTTCTGGGAAACTTTTGCAGTTTTCTCAATCAGGGATCAAAAGGTGGTTTACCTCTTTAGGGGTTCAAGAGAAGGGGTCTGCAGCGTTTCCCAGGCTCAAAATATTCTAAGTTTTAGGAGGCCGTCAGTCTGAACCCACCTCTCAGCTGCCATTCAATGATCTAAAGAAATAGCTCTTTCAAAAGAGGGGCTTGAAATTTTCACTTTCTAGCAAAGTGGATCCCAACCAATAAAGAGAAAAAGAGAAACAAGAGAAGTGTTTTTTTTTCGAGCTTAAGTACCAGAATTTAGGTGACGGAGAGAGGGAATGAAAGAGAGAGAGAGAGAGGGAGAGAGAGAGAAAGGGACAGGGAGAGAGAGAGACAGAGAGAGAGAGAGTGAGTATTAGTTCACTCCAGATATGTTTCAAGGCAAAAAGTTCACTTCATTTGTTCTAAACTCCTCCTGTGGTGTGTGTGGTCAGCCACCTAAACTCAGAATAATTGCCACTTTCAAGGAAAATGTACAGGTCTCCCCTTCCCCCAGATGCCCAACCACACCAAGTTGTAAGAAAGCAACGCTGGGCATCACAAAAGAACTCAATGCCAATCAGCATCTGTGGCAGCCCGGAGAAACACAGTGCCACAAATCGCTCAACGTAAAATCAATGGGAACTCTTGAACTCAAGAGGCCTGGTGCCCAATCATACCAAAGGAAATTAGAAAAAAAAAAAGGCACAGGAATTAAAAAATAATAATAGCACCTTCTTCAGGGACAAAACACAAAGCATAGGCCACTCTTTGCAGTAGAAAAAAAAACAAACTTTCAATGCTGGCTTACTGGTCCCAAACAGGCTTAAAGAGGGGACGAACAAATGGGGGCAAAAATGCTCCTGAAGTTTCCATCGGACTATAGTGACCGAAAAAGGGACGAATGGACTTCAATTTATCCTCCACCACCACCACCACAAAAAAAATACAAAAGAAATACAAAATACAAACAAGCCACCTTGGGAGAAAAAGATGGGGTGGAAGGAGCAGGGCACGGAAGAGTCCTAGCAACAGGTAGTTAAAACTTCAAATGGCGTATAAAAACCAATATCTCAGAAGTCTAACAAAACGCACGGAGGGGCCCGCGGTCTCTCTTCGCCAACCGCCGACCGCGGTGCATTCGGCAGCTCGCCTGGTTGAGGGAAGAGTCCCCTGCCCGGGTCAGAGGGTGCGTGGGTTGTATTCTGGCAATCTCTTGATTTTCTCCTTTTCGGCTTCGCTCTCGTCGCGGGCAATCGCCAAGGAGTGCGCGTAGCCCATGGCGACCTGTAAAAGAGATGGGACTGCTTGCGTGGATCGCCAAAACCACACTTCCCTTCGCGGGGGTTGAACTATGCTGCACAAAACGATCCGCACGACGGCTTCACGCCATCATCCCCGTTTGCGCATCCGACGAAGGTTAGGAGGCAGCTCCCCGAATGCAGAGGCCGAGTATTTTGCACGCCCTATGAAAGTGTCCGTCGTACATGCGTGGCTGAGTGCAAGTCAATATCCCTGCTCTTTAATTTGAATGCGCTCAACTTGTGAGGAGGAGATTGAGGAATGCTTATTAAATAAACCAACATACAGGTTTAGCCTTAAGTTCTAAGAATTGTTTGATCTCCTCTATGCAATGTTAACATATAAGGTTTTATCTCTCTCTGATTACCTACCCTATTTCTCTCTCTTTCTCTCTCTCATGTTTATATCATCTATCTCTACCTATTCTTTGGTCTCTCCATGTCTATCTACCTATTTTCCCTCCCTCCCTTCCCCGTCCCCCCTCTCTCATATAGCCTCCCTATCCTATCCCCCTTCTCTCCCTTAGGCTTGGCCCACAGAAGCCTCTCCTATCCTCCCTATTGCCTTCACTCCCTCTCCTTTACTCCAGGTCTCTTTCTCCCTTTTCCCCTTAAACCTCTTTCCCTACCCTCTCAGGCCTCCTTTTCCCCAAGCATCCCTTCCTATCCTTCCCTTCCAGCTCTTTCCTCCCCAGAAAACCCTCCTTCCTCCTCTCAAACTCCCTGTTTCCTCCTCTTCCCGCCAAAACCTCCTCTTTCCCCCTTCCCACATACTCCTATCCATCTTTCTCTACCATACATACATGTATACATATATCCTCCCTGTCTGTATCTAATAAATNCCGGTGAGATTTGAACAGCCGAACTGCAGTCAGCTGAAGTAGCCTGCAGTGCTGCATTTAACCACTGCGCCACCTCGGCTGGTCAGCCGGCAGCCAGATTTGAGCTCCTGATTGCCATCCCTTCTCCAGGCAAGGGTGGTGTGGGATGACAGGAAACGCAACACGCAATTTTGATGTGTTGGTTAGATTCACACATCACAAGAATCTCTTAAAGGACAGCGGTCCCAACTGTTTGGGGATTGCCACCCCGGCTGTTGGGGGAAGAGGGGAACTGGGCTGCGTTGAGCCAGCACACACGCAACCCTTCAGCAGGGCATGGGCTAGCACACACATGTGCAGCTGAACCTGTTTGTTCTTTCTCTCTTGCTTTACTGTGGTAATAGTAAAGCAAGAGAGAAAGAACACACAGGTGCAGCTGAACCTGTGTGTTCTTTCTCTCTTGCTTTACCACATGTGGTAATAGGTACCTGTTGCCTTGAACACGGTATGAGATGGCGCACATGAGCAGCTCAACTTGCGTGTCAAGCTGGCATGCATGCAAGTGCCCACTGGCCTATCACTCATGCAAGTTGTGCGAATACGTGCACATGTGCTCCAGCCAGCCACTTGTGTGGCCCAAATTATGAGTAGGCCACGGCCCAGTAGGGTGTGCGGCCCCAGGGTTTGTTTGGCTTAAAATATTGGGTGAATCCAGAGCTGTGTCTTCTACAGCATCCTTCTGAACAGCTCTAACATGAAGATACACAATCCAGATGGATACCGTATTTTTTGGAGTATAAGACGCTCCAAAATATAAGACACACCTAGCTTTTGGGGGAGGAAAACAAGGTGGGGGGAATCTGCCTCCCAGCAATTTGCCTTCTTGCAGCAAACAGACGATATACACTGTTTGTGGTGTTACATTTCTGACTATACTTGTACAGATGCTGTTAAAATTGATGAGGCTTTCTGGAAGTATACATGATTCCCTGCAATTTAAAAGAAGATACAATAGCACTGGGCCTCTTCAGATCAAGCATATATAGTTTAAAAAGCTTCTTCATTTTGTTGTCTAGAACAATAATAAAGCAATCTTTAAAAAATAAGTCTACTAATTTGGACATTTTATAGGCATTTATACCGTTTTCCCAAAAATAAGACCTCCCCGGAAAATAAGCCGAATCAAGCTTTTGAGTGCATGCGCTAAAATAAGCCCTCCCCAAAAATATTGCAATACAGCAGCAGCCATGAGGTGACCACGCTCACCGCCTCCTGCACCTGAAAAATAATAAGACCTCCCCGAAAATAAGGCCAAACGCTTATTTCGAGGGTCAAAAGAAAATAAGACCCTGTCTTATTTTCAAGGAAACATGGTTATTGACTTACCTCCTTGCTGCAAACAGCAAACAGCCTGTTTCAGTTTAGCCTGATTAGAAGAAAAAATCTGCCTCTGGCTCCCAGCAATTTGCCTCCTTGCAGCAAACACCCGGTTTCACTTTCAATTTCAGGACGCCTCCCTATGACCAGCTGTTTCAGGCTGCAGGGAGTGTCATAGCCTATTGCTACCTTCGCAAGCCACATTTCGCCCGTTTGCTACAAGGAGGTAAATTGCTGGGAGGCAGAGACCTCGGTGAATAAGACACACCCAAATTTTTACCCTCCTTTAGGGGGGGAAAAGTGCATGTTATACTCTGAAAAATACGGTAACTAAGACTTAATTAGTTGTCCCTAGTAAAGAACTTTTGACTTTAAAAGTAGATGGAGAAGTAGACTGTTAAAATGTTATGGGTTTCCTTCTCATTGCATTTCACTAGGGTCCAAAATCATGAAAACTGATTGCAATCTGACATATTAGACCACTGCTTATCTCCCTTCTGCAGGTAAATATGATTGTCCTGGGGAAACACCTGGGCATCCCAAAGCCGTTTGGACCCATCATCGATGGCCAATGCTGCTTGGAGAAAGAGGTCCGCCGTCTCCTGGAGCCCTTAGGCTTGTCCTGNGGAGTGGAAAAGGAGATTTTGCAGTATCCTTCCCCTGGAGTGGAGTGGAAATGGAGATTTTGCAGTATCCTTCCCCTGGAGTGGGAAGGGAATGGAGATTTTACAGTATCCTTCCCCTGAAGTGGGGAAGGAATGGGGATTTTGCAGTGTCCTTCCCCTGAGTGGGGAGGGAATGGGGATTTTGCAGTGTCCTTCCCCTGCCACGCCCACCAAGCCACACCACAACCAACAGAATAGTAAAATGTTTGAATCCTACTGCTCCTGGAAAGTCCAATTTTTCCAAAGGGTGCTTCATTTTCTGAAAAGGATGAGGTCAACTGTTGGGCTCCGTTACATTAACATGAGTTGTGTTTCTCCCTTCCAACATGTTCTCCCCCTGGGAACAAGCAAGGACTCCGAACTGTTGCAATAAACAGCTTCCTCTATTATAGAATAATTACAATATTCCTTCTCACCAAGCACTGGGCTTCTAACTGGAGATTAAAAGTCACATGCACACCAATAACCAAATCATTTTCCTTTTTCCAAATAGGAATTGAATCTACAGGAAGTGGTTGGCAGCCCCGTCCCATATCAGAAATCATTGCCGACAAATTCTTAAGAGAGTGGAATGGACACTGCCAAGTAAGAACCCATCTATTGCGCTACGAAATCTGGAAACTGAGTGATCCAACAAAGAGGATGAAGGGATTATTCCTTGTTTTGTTCAGATACTGAAGGCTTTACCCAGTCAGTAAAACATTTAAGCATGGGCCATACATGAGGTGTTCTGATCGAGGTTTCCCAAGAGCATGAAACAAACTCTTTGTCCCGACAAAAACCCTTTTTGTTAATTTGCTTTGAATTCTTCTCATTCACACCCAGCAAAGTCCTTCAAGGGAGGATTTACAGTCACAGACCTTATCTGGCTTGGAGAGCTTCCAGGTCGATATCTGCAGAACTTGGCAAGGAATCTCGGAGTCACAAACCAATGAAGCGAACTAGTTGTCTCCTGCAAGCTCCACTCCCCTTTCGCTCCTCTTTTATTTCCTCTGGGAGGGGGCCATTCCCCATCCACCGGTGGCCTTACTCCCAAGCCGACCCCTGTTCTTTAGTTGTTTCCCTTCGTCTGGCAACACTGGGAACAGGCTCCAGCTGTTCTTCCGCCTCACTGATGTCTGACTCTGAAGGCAGCTGATAACTGGCAGATGGCTCTGGTCCCCCCTCTGCCTCGGACAAAGAGCCCTCATCAGAGCCTTCCCCAGACTCCAGGACTGGCCCATCTTCCTCCCCAACCTCCTCACTGTCCGAATCTGATCATGATCCCCTTTTGCGACCTTCTGACAAGCTAAGTCAATGGGGAAGCCAGATTCCTTTTAACAACTGTTCAACAACCGCAGTGATTTACTTAGCAAACGTGGGAAGAAAAATGTTAAAGTGGAGCGAAGCTTACTTAATAAATTTCTCACTTAGCCACATATGTTTCGGGCTCAATTGTGGGCATAAATCGAGGACTGCCTGCAGGGAAGTTATGGTTTTACCGGCAGTCAGTTTGTGGGCACTGAAATATTAACATTTTAAAATATTTAATATTTTAAATATTAATATTTTAAGTATTTTAAATATTAAAATGTTAAGTGTGGCCTCTCCCTACTCCTTTTTATTCACTGAAGCTTCTTACTTCCCTTTTCAGAGGTGTATCAATTGGAACAAAGTCATCCTTAAAGAGGAGCTGGGCCTGGAAGAGGAAGACATCATTGAGATACCTCAGCTGTTCCATCCTTATCTCGCTTTGTTGGAGAATTCCATTACTCTAGAGGTCAACGCTTCCGCTGAGGCTTATTTCCCAGACATGGTAAGACTCCCACCCCAAATATTTTTTGAAAAGAACCAGCCAAGATGTCACCCACCAGTCAAAGGTTTAGCTTAATTCAACTTGGGTTGAAGAAGCAGAGGGCATCTTTAGCAATAGCAATAGCAGTTAGACTTATATACCGCTTCATAGGGCTTTCAGGCCTCTCTAAGCGGTTTACAGAGTCAGCATATTGCCCCCAAC